TGCACTACCACAAACACCACCTGCACTACTACCAAAAACACCACCCCCACTACTACCACAAACACCACCTACAGCGATACCCCCACCTACATTAGTGTAGACCACCAGCACCACCGCGTCCATGTGAGGTTTGTTTTTTGAGCTAAATGCATTGATTCATATGATGTGATTTATTTGTTAAGAGATATTTTTCTGTTTAGTTAAATGTGCCGTCAAACATTTCGCTGACTAACTCACAATGTCACATATTCTTTCTATAAATCCAGTTTTTAACAAAGTGGTTCTTCTCAATAACATATCAATCAAAAAGTTTTACAGAGAGATAGAATTTTCTCCCTGTATTTTGCTTCTCACTTGTTGGCCTTTGAGTTTTTTAGGTGTATGGAGTGACACACCTTGTGTACCTGCAGGCCATAAATCCCGCCCTCTCAGGTTAGAGCAGTTAAGGAAGGTGCTGCAGGCAAATTACCTGAATGCTGACAGGTTATTGATGGCGGAGGGCGGATAGTATGTGTGCCAGCATGTGTGTGTGTCACACAATAGATTCCAGTCGTTAAACACAACCGACGCCAACGTCCTGTCACAGTGTGTTCTGAGGATTTGTGGGATCGAATATTTTCTGAGCATGTTCAAGCGACAGCAAGAGCAGGAACATGACAAAACACACAAGACAAAAATGATGATTCTGCAGAACATTATTACAAGAAAGCCATAAAGGTGCAACACATGCCTTCAAACTTCAAACAGGGCCGCCTCGAGTGTCCGATCGGTCCGCTGGGCGATTTGGCCAAGTAGGAAACTTACAGACAGGTTATTTACTTACATAGTGTAGCAGGGCCTTTGTTGGATGCTTTACTTTGTAATGAGATGAATTTCATGCAGGAAAACCTATTAACCTGCGGCTTATTCAACAGTGCAGCTAATGTATAATTTTTTAAGGGCTAACTGGCGAGAGCGAGATAATGCGCCGAGGAAGACGTTTGATTGTGTTTCGAACATCCATATTGGGCATCATATTCACACTCATGGAAAATCGTTTCACTTCCTGGTTCTAAAGTCTTGCGTGTGTTGCAGAGTTGCAAAAGCTCCTCAATCTGATCCGTTCTCTGGTAAAAGGACGCAGTCAGCAGACCAATCACAGCCTTGTGCGCTGCGGGAGGCTGCGTAGCAAAAGACACGCAACGGGCTCCAGTTTCTGCTGCTTTTCTACCTTTAAAGTTAAGATTTGAAAACCCTCTGTAGATTAAGTCTTGGTGTATTCCTTTTTATTGAAATCTCTGTTTTTATTTGTTCATTTAACAGCAAATGGGAATGAGTCCAGTTTACACACCTCTTTTCTAAATGCAGTGGCGTGATGGTGTGCAGCACATTCCTGTTGGTTGGTGCTGCTCGGATGGGAACAAGCCTGAGGCAGAACACCACGCAGTCACACCCAAGCTGGAACGCATTCAAATCATTCATTTTAGTGTTTTGAGACGGCTCCAGGACGCATTTGTGGGCACATAGAGAATCTGTCGATGCGTCGGCCTGGTTTGTAATAACCGTATTACTTATTACATAATGCATTAAAACACAGCTACCAATCATGAGGAAAATGACTGAATTTAGACAAAGTGTGTCCATGTGAAGTTGTCTGTGTCTACAAATATTTCAACTAAAATTCTCAAGGTTTATTTCTGTAAAACAGTTTCAGGTCCAATATTTAAATGAACTTTAATAAAGCAATAAGGTACTTTAGGCAGTACTTTATCTTCAACAATGTAACAGTAACAACGCCCTCAAATACGGTTACCAGCTAAATTATAATTAGTCAGTAAATAGCTGCCTTTCAGCACAAAATAGTAAGGTTGTATATCGCATCTCATGGAGACAAATAGTCTCAGCATCGTGTCTCCCACCGTCTCATTCATTCACATAATGACGTCCACCTTAATTGTCCGGTTGCAAAAGCTCGCATTGCCCAAAACTGATCATTTGTGGGATTTTGTTTTTTTTTGGCGCTCGCCACCATAGATGTTATATAAAATCGCCATCGAGCTAAAAGCTAAAATGTCAACTAACGGATGCACAGAAGCTAACCTGCTACTCACGCTCGGGTCAATGTGAACAGCAACTGTCCATTATCGTCCAATAATGTCCCCCCCGTGACTCACTCTCGGCCAATCAGAACGCTGGATTTCATCTACCTGTATTATACATTGAATTGAAATGAGTAAATCTGGGGCTAAAGGATAATCGGTTCATGCAGGACTGATTTGTGACTGTGTGAACACTGAAAACCATGAAACCATGCTTTCTCAATCTGTTAAAGACAAAGTCAGTTGTGGCTTGAGAACTCTTAACAGCAGATGAACACTGTGGTTGTCGTTAATTCTCCGTGTGAGGAAACATCAGCCAGGCTTTGGTGACCCGCTGTGGGTTTGTTTAATTGATCTCGCTCTTTGTCCTGAACAGTACAAGGTTTAATCCTTTAAACCATAAGTCGCCTGCAGCCAAGAGCTTGTCAACGCATCAAAATAGTTAACAACAGATCTGAGTCAGGACTTGCCCTGCAGCTCGGGATCGTTTTCTGAAGATGCCCCAGCACGCAGCAGGCCGACACACCCATTAACCTTTAGAGCTGAAAGAGAACAGTGCCTCCGAAGGGGCCCAACCTCCTCCTCTCCGAACAGTATAAAGATAAAAAGGCGCTCTATCGGCTCCTCACTCACCGCTATCAGGCTGAAGCAGATAGTGATCCTCCTCATCAACGCTTAATCATGTTCAACTACAGCTCCTCCAGGAGCTCCATGTCGGGTGGAGGCGGAAACAGGGGTTATAGCAGCAACTCCATGTACGGTGGAGCCGGAGGCTCCTCTGTTAAGATCTCTAGCGGCTCCTCCTTGTTTTCAAGCGGTGGAGGTGGTGGAGGAGGCTATGGCTTCGGCTACGGTGGTGGTGGAGGAGGAGGTGGAGGTGGAGGTTCAGGGTTTGGTTTTGGCGCTGGTGGCGGCGGCGGCGCCGGAGGAGGTGGTGGTGGAGGTGACATCTCTGCCAACGAGAAGGCCACCATGCAGAATTTGAACGACCGGCTGGCCAGCTACCTAGAGAAGGTCCGCCTGCTGGAGACAGCCAACTCGGAGCTGGAGCTGAAGATCAGGCAGTTCCTGGAGAGCAAGACGTCTCCGTCCTCCAGGGACTACAGCGCCTTCTACGCCACCATCGCAGAGCTGCAGGGAAAGGTAGGATCACTTTGGAGTCATGTGTCCCCCAAACAGGAAGCGCTGCAGTGTTCATCTATAAGTTACAACGTCAAGATGAATCAATTGGGATCCAAATATCAACTCTAAAATCAGCAGCTGTATTACTGTCTAGCGATGTAGTTAACTTAGCAACAACAAAAAAGAGAGTGACATCAGGTAAACACTGACTGTGAGATGATTGACTGCTCTTCTGGTTTTAAAGATACAAAGAGCTGGTTTCCTGACGTGGTTCCTTTTCCGTCTACGTAGATGACACATTTTAAAAGAAACTTCTTTTTTTTATACCACCCAGATCCAAGCCGCCACCAAAGTCAACGGCGGCATCTACCTCTCCATCGACAACGCCAAGCTGGCCGCCGATGACTTCCGGCTCAAGTCAGTGAAAGATCTTGTCAAGCCGAATGCTTAAAGATTCCTTTGCCCGCTTCGTTCTCCCTTTTTGACACTTTGTTGCGTTTGCAGATTTGAGAGCGAGCTGGCCATGCGTCAGTCGGTGGAGGCCGACATCGCCGGTCTGAGGCGGGTCCTGGACGAGCTAACCCTGAGCCGGACCGATCTGGAGATGCAGATTGAGGGCCTGAGGGAGGAACTGATCTTCCTGAAAAAGAACCATGAGGAGGAGCTGATGTCCATGCGGACACAGATGAGCGGCCAAGTCAATGTGGAGGTGGACGCCGCACCGGGACCAGACCTCAACAAGCTCATTGCCGAAATTCGTGAGCAGTATGAAGCAAACACCGCCAAAAACCAGAGGGAGCTGGAGGCCTGGTTCCAGAGCAAGGTAAGGCCGTTAAACCTAACGATAAACATCTCAGCAACCACTACGGGATGGATGGTCGATGACATAGTTGTTGCATTGTGTCCTTAATGTAGTCGGAAGCACTGAACCAGGAGGTGGCCATCAACACCGAGGTCATCAATACGTCCAAGTCTGAGCTCACAGATCTGAAGCGGACTCTGCAGGGTCTAGAGATCGAGCTGCAGTCTCAGCTCAGCATGGTGAGCGTCTCTTTTATTTCTTGAGGTCTTCTAACCTAACCGAACTAACCAAGCTGCGCTCTCCTCTGCTCCCACAGAAATCGTCCATGGAGGCCACCCTTGCCGAGACCCAGAACCGCTACTCGATACAGCTGTCCGGGTACCAGAACCAGGTTAGCGCCATGGAGGGGCAGCTGATGCAACTAAGGGGCGACCTGGAGCGGCAGGGACGAGAATACCAGATGCTGCTGGACATCAAGACCCGGCTGGAGATGGAAATTGCCGAGTACCGGAGGCTCCTGGACGGGGAAGGCGGCGGCAGCAGCAGGTGAGACGACGACAAGGACATTTAAGGGCTGAACTTCTAAAATGTTTGTGTTTGACTCTGACTCAGAGCAGTAATATGACTTTTCACCACGTTTTGATCACCATGATGTCAAAAATTTGAATTATTTTGGAGTTCAACATTTTTGACTTTGCTTGCTCAGGATTTTTAGCCCTAATTCTCTCTCTCTCTCCAGCAGGTCCTCCAAAACCACCACCACCACCATCACCAGCGGCGCCGGCAGCACCGGCAGCAGCAGCAGCAGCAGCACCAAAGTCACCAAATACATAGCCATCACACAAGACATTGTGGACGGGAAGGTGGTGAGCACTTCAGAGGAGGTCGTTAAATAGATCCGGCAACTCCAGCTAGATCTGTCTCGCAGAAACAAACCAATAAAAGTTTCACAATAAAAGCTGTGTCTGTCAAACGTTTTGTCTGAGACTGCAGTTCCTATAATGGCCACCAGGGTAATGAGCATCCAATTACATATTTATAATGCAACAAACACATCTAATGAGTCCTGAAGGACATTTTTTAAATGATTCATTCATATAGTAGCATAGGAGGAGGTGACTAAAAAGTTCTATATCATCATTTCACAAAAAAGTACAATATTTGTCTCTGGGATGTACTGTAGTATAAAGTACTCCATAAACCTCTGAGCTGTAGAACAGTAGAAAGTACTCCATTTACCTCTGAGATGTAGTAGTACCTTTGAGAAAGTACTCCTACTAGTAACTCTGATAGTATGGTAGAAAGTACTACATGTACCTCTTGAGTAAAGTACTACGGAGATGTAGTACGGTAGAAAGTACTCCATTTACCTCTGAGATGTAGTAGTACCTTTGAGAAAGTACTCCTACTAGTAACTCTGATAGTATGGTAGAAAGTACTACATGTACCTCTTGAGTAAAGTACTACGGAGATGTAGTACGGTAGAAAGTACTGTATGTACCTCTGATATGTAGTACAGTAGGTTTAGAATATTTAAATACAGGAAACACTCATCCAATTATCCTTTGATCCCACGAGGACATCGTAGGAATTATCGAGACCTTAAAGGTATAAAACAAGTCGTCCAACATCATCTAAAAACGTCAGCAGCAGAGAGACGACGTGTAGTGATGTTCTGTTAACTCGTACCCTTTGTAACGGCCCTCGGGGGTATTTATGGACCTCTGAGGTGAACCCCCCCCCCCTCCCCAGGACCCCCGGCGTGTCTCACACATGAGAGAAAGAAGTGTTTGGACAAAGCATCAATATGTTCATGGGTATTCATCAATAAGGTGACAATGTGGAATGGAGGAGCGCTACAGGATCTCATGGGGGGGTTGTGAGATCTCATGGCAGGTCTAAGCCTGCAGGGGGTGTGAGAACCAGATATCAGAACATTCCATCTCAACGAGACGTGTACTTAACATTCCTGCTGTGACATCTCCGGTTAGTTACCGACCCCCTACCAGCCCCCCCCCCCGCGGCTTGAACCCCTCCCTCACCATCCAGGGATCCATTAAAGCGCACCAGGTCTGAGCAGCTGCATTCTCGCCTCAACATCCAAAGCAGGAAGACCTTCCTCCGTCATGTCCAGCTACACCCGCTCCGTCAACTTCTCCGGGGGCCGCCTCGGCGCCCCCAGGGCCCCAAGCGTGTACGCCGGCGCCGGAGGCTCTGGGGTCCGCATCTCCAGTGTGAGCGCTCCCAGGAACTTCTCCTCCGGTGGTGGGGGCTTCAACCTGTCGGACGCCCTAGACATCTCCGACAACAAGAAGGTGGCCATGCAGAACCTGAACGAGCGGCTCGGGTCCTACCTGCAGAACGTCCGCAGCCTGGAGACCGCCAACGCAGACCTGGAGCTCAAGATCAAGAGGTTCCTGGAGAGCAAGACCAGACCTGAGAACCACGACTGCGTGGCCTTGAAGGCCTCCATCAGAGAGCTCCAGGACCAGGTGAGTCTCCGTCTGGAGGTCATATCTGAATAGATCCCACTCAGGTGTACAGGTGGTTTAGGAGAGAAGCTTCATTACTCCCTTCACACTCTACATGCACATACACTTGTATGGTGCACTTTATTTAAATTCATCTTGCACTATGTTGTTCTTGCATCTCTGTCTCTCTGTCTTTGTCTTGTTGTCCATCGTCTTACTGTCTGATGTTATGCAGCAACGGCAAAGACAAATTCCTTGTATGTCTAACATATTTTGATAATAAATGTCCCTGATTCCTGCAAGGTAAACACAGATGCCCCCCCCCCCCCTCCCCACCAGCTCCAGCTCTGGTTTCACAGAAACATGCACTTCTACAGATGTAGGCTGTCTTCAATCCCAGAATGGAGGTTCTTTATGTTCTGAGAACCAGATGAAACGAAAATGGCCTTCAGCGACTAAAATATGAAATGTTAAAATCAAACTTCTCTTTGTGCTTCAGATCCTCTTCGCCACCGGAAGCAACGGATCTCTGTATCTGGCCATCGACAACGCCAAGCTGGCTGCTGACGACTTCAGGGTCAAGTGAGACCACCACACCTGGACCTCACATCTGCTCCCCCATGTCATGTTCTTCACTAAAGGTCTCCTCCGCTGGTCCGCAGGTTTGAGAGCGAGCTGGCCATGCGTCAGTCGGTCGAGGCCGATGTGTCTGGGCTGAAGAGGGTCCTCGACGAGCTGACCCTGGGGAGGTGCGACCTGGAGATGCAGATCGAGGGCCTGAGGGAGGAGCTGATCCAGCTAAAGAAGAACCACGAGGAGGTGGGCCCATCAACTTCATTCTTTACAGTTCATTATTATTGTTTATATTATTTTTCAGGTGGCACGGTGGCGTGGTGGTCAGCACTGTCGCCTCACACCAAGAAGGTCCTGGTTCCACTCCACCCAGTGGCCTTTCTGTGTGGAGTCTGCATGTTCTCCCCGTGTCTGCGTGGGTTCTCTGGCTTCCTCCCACAGTCCGGAGACCTGCTCTGGGGATCAGATTGATTGGGGACTCTAAATTACCTGTAGGTGTGTGAATGGTTGTGTGTCTCCGTGTAGCCCTGTGATTGGCTGGCGACCCGTCCAGGATGAACCCGTCTATTGGCTGGGATGGACCCAGTGCAGGATAAGTGGTTTGACAATGGATGGATATTATTTTTCACTTATTATTCTGCAAAGAATTAAACCATCTGATGTGACCGTAGTCACACGAATGAAACTTCACGCCTCACATGTCTTCAGAATTCAGTCAAATTCTTATTTAATGAGAATTCTTCAAAATTAGGTGGAAAAACAAAAATGTAATTTTGTTCTGATGAACATGAAAAGAAAAAAAATGTGTCTCCCTGCTGCAGGACCTGCTGCTCCTCAGGGGTCAGATGGGGGGTCAGGTGAATGTGGAGGTGGATGCCGCACCCCAGCAGGACCTCTCTGCCGTCATGGCGGGCATCAGAGACCACTACGAGACCGTGGCCAACAACAACCGCAGAGACCTCGAGGTCTGGTTCCAGGCCAAGGTGAGACCAGCAGAGATCCTCTGAGCTGGATGCTGATAGGCCAAGATCGACCAGGTTCCGCCCACAGATTTGCCCTCCCATGAGCGTCAATGGTTTCAAGATGAGGAGATCAAATGCCCCCCCCCCTCACATGGCTGGATGAACTCGATGAATTTGAGTTGATTGCTATTTGTTGTTTCTGCAGTCTGAGGTCCTCAATAAGGAAGTGGCTGTGAGCACAGAGACTCTCCAGTCAACCCGCTCTGAGGTCACGGAGGTCAAACGCTCGCTGCAGAGCCTGCAGATCGAGCTCCAGTCGCAGCAGAGCATGGTGGGTGCCCCCCATGAATCAATGAAGATAACAGTCCCCTCCACAGGAGTATCCTCACTCTGCTTCTCTCCTCCCCCCCAGAAAGCATCTCTGGAAGACACCCTCGCCGACACCCAGAGCCGCTACGCTAACATGCTAGCAGGCTACCAGAGGCAGGTGTCGGGCCTGGAGGAGCAGCTGGGCCGGCTGAGGGAAGACCTGGAGCGCCAGGGCCACGAGTACCAGGTACTGCTGGACATGAAGACCCGGCTGGAGATGGAGATCGCAGAGTACCGCAGGCTGCTGGATGGGGAGGGCGGCGCCAGCAGCACCAGCAGCAGCAGCAAAGTCACCAAATACATAGCCGTCACGAAGGACATTGTGGACGGGGAGGTGGTGAGCACTTCAGAGGAGGTCCTTCAATAGATCTGGCAACTCCAGCTGGATGGGCTCCCACAGAAACAAACACGGTAACTAAAGTCTGACAATAAAAGCCGTCTGTCAAATGTTGTGTCTGAGACTGCAGTTCCTCTCATGGCCACCAGGGACAGAGACGCACACACAATGAGTCCCGAAGGACATTTTAAATGATTAATTCATATAGTAGGACAAGAGAGTTCTATATGATCATTTCACAAAAAATTACAATATTTGTCTGAGATGTACTGCAGTATAAAGTACTACTCTGAGACGTAGTACAGTAGAAAGTACTACCTCTGATATGTGGTACTTAACTTCCGGTTCAACTCAACAGACAAAACTACTTAAGAAACTGAATATTTTGAATAGTAAAATACAGGAAACCCTGATCCAATAATCTTATGGAGACAAACGCGTCGTCCAAAAATCATCTGGAGATCGCCGAGTCCCACGAGCTGCTGTTCATCAAATCAAATGCACACACATCAATCATCTCGCCCGCATGAAGGACAAGCAGAATTAACTAAAGTTCATATTCATGCTTTTCTAGGAACTTGAATATGTCACACCTTAGTGAAATAATCAAAAGTAAGAAATTTACCAGAAAACATCCAACGGTTTTACTATATAAATAACACAAAAATCATGTTTTTTTACTTAAAGTAACAGGAATGAGTTGATTGTTTACTTTGTGCCAGAAGAACCAGTGAGAATAATAACGGATGAGCTCACAAGTATTTACGTCTCATCTCGGAGCTGTGTCTGAATGGATGGGGTCCAGCTTACATCCAGGACCTGGTCCAACCCGACACCCCGACCTCTGACCTCTCCGCTCTGCATGTGATAAACTGCTTGTTCCTCCTCACTGAGAGCAAAACACTCCACTAGATCTCCACTCTCTGCTGTCCTGCTCCTAAATGGTGGAAGGAGGTCTCTGAAGACATCAGGACCACAGAGAGCCTTCACATCTTCAGACTAAAGACACACCTCTTCAGACTCTACCTCCACTAACACACTAACTAACTGCAGCACTTACACTGGACTTACAATGGTTCTTATCTACAGCAAGTTGTACATCGGCTTATTTGATGAAATTGCACTTTCTTGTTTCTTGTTCTTCTGAGTTTGTACCTGATGGTTGAAATGTTCTTATTGTAAGTCGCTTTGGATAAAAGCGTCAGATAAATGACATGTGATGTGTGTGTGTGTGTGTGTGTGTGTGTGTGTGTGTGTGTGTGTGTTGATCATCACCAGAGACGCCGTCGATGACAAAGACTTTGGCTTGGAAAAGTGAAGCCCCTCAGATGTCACAAAATGCTGCAATATTATTATTATTATATAATATTATTTATAGTTAAGGGGAAACGTTCGACCTCAAGCAGAACATTTATTTTTTCTGTTTTAATTCTTGTCAGCATTTGTTAGTTCTGTATTTCCAAATTCATTTCAGCTTCTTCCATTTCTGTAGTTTCAGCAATTTTTTCTAATTCGTTTCAGCTTTCCAACGCATTTTATGCAGGAAATGCATTTTCTAGTTTTGTGAAATATCTTCTATTAATATTTCTATTGTCTAACCAAAACAACGGCCCTACGCTGTGCCCAACATAGTGTACTTGGTTGCATTCCACCTGCTAAGGGGGTGTGGCCCACCTGAGCAGCCCACCTGAGGCCCCTCACCTTCTCCACCAACCACAGCTCCTCTTCCTCCCCTGGTCCTGCTGGAGGTTCAACTTTCATTAGAACTTAAATCCAACCACAGCACAAAAGATGAAAAGCAGCTTGACAGAAGATCAGATCTATTCAGAGGTTAACGCGTCAATCATCTCAAGCTAACGGGGGTTTTTACTTCTATTTAGATCCAGAGGGCTCCCTCTGCTGGACAACGGGGGCAACATGTAAAACCACAACCCCATCAACAAGTTTATGATGAGCAAGCTTTATTTTGGAACAGCTGAAAAGTTCAATAAAATATTTAAATCTCAATATTCATGTGTCTTACTTTATTATGTGGTACACTGGGCTCTATGGGACTCGTTAAGACCGCTCCAGATGTTCTCTGCACATCTTTGTGCACGCGTCAGTCGGTGGAGGTCGACACCTCCAACCTCGGGTTGGTGCTGGGAGAACGTGACCAAGTACGACCCGGCAGGCAGACCAAGAGCCTGAGTGACCATGAAGATCCACAAGCTGCACTGGAAGTAGAGGAGGGAGACCGGACAGATACATGCAGTGTATTTATACACGACACGATGACACGTCCTCCTACGGGAGGTAGGACCTGATGTCCATGAGGACCCAGATCAGCGTGCGGGTGGACGCCGCTCCTCAGGAAGACCTCAGCAAGGTCCTGGCAGACGCGAGGGAGCACTATGAGGTCATCGCCGCCAAGACCCTCAGAGGGGAGCTGGAGGTGTGCTACCAGGGCCTCCACCACACCACTGAAGGTGTTGTCTTCTGGGGACCTTGTCCTCTCAGACAGAGATGCTCAATCAGGAGGTGCAGCAGATTTTTTTTTATATATATATAATATATATATATATATTTTACACACGCACACACATATATAATTATGTTGAAATACACGTTCAACCGTTCTTACACAACATTTTAGATGATGGACACTTTGCACCTCCCTTCTTCTTCAGGAGGTGCTAGTGGACCCACTGGGGGTCCGGGAGAAGGGGGTTCTTCTGTAGGGAACCACTTGGTTCCGTTAAGAGACCTTTAAAGACATGAAATACAACGTCCCTGCAACCAGCCGGAAAACATGAAGCACAAACACCCACTACGGTGTATTGATTCTGCTTACAGGGCGCCTCGAGGTCGGGGGGTTCGAATCCCCGCCCTCAAAGAGAAGAAGCCGAGCAGACTCTCTCGTTAGTTTTAAAAAATATATTTTTTTCCGGGTACAAGGATGCGGTTTTAAAAAGGGTTTTTTAGATTTCATTGGGAATGACATAATCAATAAGAATTTTTACACAGTGAGCGATCAGCACCGGGGGGGGGGGGGGGGGGGCGGTTGGTCCTCGTGGAGCCTAAAACAGTTTAAACCGAAGGAATGTCGAGTCATCAGATTATCGTTCACTCCAAAGCAGACTCCTGACACGTGGACTTTTTATGAGCGCTGGTGAGTCACATGACAAATCACATCAGATCAATATATCATCAATATATCAAGATCACACGGGCAGCGAGGGGAATGTTTAGAGAGGAATCATCAGGTGCAAATAGAACTAGTATCATCAACGTTGCCCTGGTTTCCCAACTTCTTGTTAATCTTTTACTTTACAATCTTGGAAAAGTCACAATTTTCATCATTAAAGAATAAATTTAATGTCAGAAATTCAGATTTAGTTTCTCTAAATTTTCCTCTTCTGTCTTTTGTGTCTTTTTGTTTATCAAATTGATGATTTAACGTAAACATACGAGACATCTGAAGTATAAAACACACAGAGTACAACACTTTGTGTACTTGTACTCCCTCTGAAGTACTGAGTGCTGTCGGTACACTGGTCCTGCTGGTTTCGGTATTAAAAAAAACACATTCAGATAAAGTACTAGAAATGACGTATTTTTGTGCTTGTTTAGAAGTACTTAAGAAAAAGTACTGGGACCAGTTCAAAGATCATCTTCAAGCCCCGCCTCTTCCTGACAGACACACACACACACGCACACACACACACACACGGTATGAAAATGTAAGAAAAAGAACTTGTATATATATATATGTATATATATATATATATAGGATTTATAAAAAAAGAGGAATAATACTTTGTTTATCCGAGCGGTTCAGGTGGAGTTTGTTTCAGCTGCTGTCGGAGCTGACGGAGGAAGAGGAGGAGCTGCTGGAGGAGGAGCTGCTGGAGGAGGAGCTGCTTGCCGTGTCGCCCCCCCGCTCCCTCTTGTGGATCTGCTCGTGGGCTTTGAGGTGACCCGACTGGCTGAAAGTCTTGCCGCAGTGGGGGCAGGCGTAGGGCCGCTCCCCGGTGTGGATCTGCTGGTGCGCCTTCAGGTGGCCCAGGCGGCCGAAGCTCTTGCCGCACTGCGTGCAGCCGAAGGGCCGCTCGCCGGAGTGGATCCTCTCGTGGGTCTTCAGCACCCCCGAGTTGCTGAAAGTCTTGCCGCACTGCGAGCAGGTGAAGGGCTTCTCCCCCGTGTGGATCTGCACATGGTTGCGGTAGCCCGACTCCCTGCCGAAGCTCTTGCCGCAGTGCTGGCAGCAGAAGGGCCGCTCGCCGGTGTGGCTCAGCTGGTGGGCCTTCAGCTCCTTGGGTTGGCCGAAGCTCTTGCCGCAGGCCAGGCAGGCGAAGGGCCGCTCGCCCGTGTGCAGCCGCTGGTGCGAGCGCAGGTCGTCGGCCTTGGTGAAGCCTTTGGGGCAGTGGGCGCAGACGTAGGGCTTCTGGCCCGTGTGGATGAGCTGGTGGCGCTTGAGGTTGCCGGCCTGGCCGAAGCTCTTGCCGCACTGGGAGCAGGAGTACGGCCGCTCGCCGGTGTGGATGCGCTGGTGTGTCTTCAGGTTCCCCAGCGTGCTGAAGTTCTTGGCGCACTGCGCGCAGGAGAAGGGCTTCTCCCCCTGCGGGTTGCGGGGCTTCCTCGCTGCCGGGTTCTGGTGTTTGCCCGCCGAGCCCGAACCCCCCGCCTCCTTCCCGTCCTCGCCCGGCGCCGCCTCGTACGGTGCCCCCGCCCCCCCTGTGAACTCTGGGTCCGGCTTGCCCATGGCGTCCAGCAGCAGGGCGTCGGGCCGCAGCTTGTTGAGTTCGGTGCGCAGCTCGGCCATGTGGATGGACTCCAGGCTGTTGGGCTGCAGGCGGTTCGGCCCGCTGTGGGATTCTGGGTACTCGCACTTCAGGGCGCTGAGCTCGGTGGTGTAGTAACACTGGAGGTCCACGTGGTGGTCTGACCTGATGTACTCCAGGGTGTCCGTCACCTGCAACACACAAACCGCTACTAAATAAACCCGTCTGCGATTTACCCGAAATAAAAAAAAAAGGTAAAAATAAGCAGAAACATCAACGCGTAAAAAGTCTGGATTGAATGCTTGCTTTTTTTAAATGGAGTCTGGATCATTGCTAAGCTATGCTAACATTGTTTCTGCACAACACAGAAGCTGGATTATTTGCAACATGATGGGAGAGGAATCCTCATTGAGATGGTCAGTTTATCGTGTTTCCCACAGCGCTTGAACTCATCATTTGTGACAAATGCTTCAGGCAGAAAGATCAGAACAGTGAAGCTTTATATTCTGATATTTCATGCACACATTTTATTTCTGTTAAAATGGTTCAGTTCTGATACTCTGATTGCTTTCGTCTGCGAGCAGAGCGGAGAGAACCGGAGTGAAGGAAGCACCACGTAGAGACGGCCTACCTGGGAGATGTAGTCGAACACGGAGCCGGGCTCGTACTGGGACTTGTAGTCCAGCTCTGTGACATCGCCGTGGTGGAAGTGGCCCAGGTGGTGGTCGCCGTGGTGATGCTCTGACTTGATGTAGTCCAGCCCGCTGATCTCCATCTTGATCTGGTCCTGGCCCAGCTCGGCGGTGGACAGCGGCTGGATCTCCGACAGGTCCACGGTCCTGATGGGTTCCAGGTCACCGTCCTCCGGCTCGCTCTTCACGCACGGCAGCATCGCCAGCGGCTCGGCGATCTCCGCCGCCAGCGGGCCGAGCCCAGGGCAGTCGGGCTCCGAGCTGCAGTCCAGGGGAGTCGGGGGGGAGCCACACTCGGGGGGCAGGCCCAGGGCGAGACAGTCCGCCTCCAAGTCTGTCATGGTGAGGGGCGGAGCTAAACCTCCTCGCCTCACTCTTGTTGCGCCGACGTTGCGCCGACGCTTTCCTCCGCCCTGTTCTGTAGAAATCTACCTGTCCTGGGGATGGGGGGCGAAGGGGCGTGTCCTCTGACAATCCAACAAGGCGTCTCTGCTGAGGTTACCGCCCACAGCTGACTGGGACCAGCCTGCAGGGTCACAAGATACGTGTTACACGTATGACATCGTCAACGTTTAGTAGGCTACACATCCGTCATAAATCAAACAATCATATATATATATATATATATATATATATATATATATATATATATATATATATATATATTTATATTTGATCAGATCGATGCCAAAGAACAATTCAGTTAACTCAAGAACTCAATACAGAATCATTCATCAACATGTGATTATTTATTATTTATTCAAATTATGTATTTAATCTCAAAACTGAGTAAATTTAGTATCCACGAAAAGCACTACTACCAGTGACTTAGTGTATCAGTAGTTTACACTTTATTGTCCACATGTTTTTATTTCCATTCATTTTACTTCATAAAGACTTTTCTCCGTTTTCTGAGATGCAAAAAAATTAGTTTTCTTTGAGAATTGAAGCTGAAACATTTTTACATTACATAAAAGTTTTCTTGGTAGTACTTTGTTCGTCGTCATCGTTGTTGTATCAAAGAAAAAAACGTACACACTTTTAAGTATCTGACTCCTACTACTGTACTTGTACTGCAGTAAACAACTTCTGCAGTATTGCTCCACTAACACTAACAGGGTACTCTGTACACAAACAATACTATTAATACTTCAACTACACTTGGCTGACAAACGCACATACTTGTACTGTGGTACTAGTACTATTTAGTTGTCAACATGCACGTACTTGTAATGAACGACTGAGGTACTTTTAATGCGCTAAAGAACCTCTGCAGCAAAAACGTACAGAGAGCCGAGCGGCAGCCGGTACCGTCAAAGTACCACCCGACCCCGCGGGTCCCCGGCGGGTCCTCGGCGGGTCCCCGGACAGAAGCCGCTACCTGTGAACACCTTTCCGAGCCGCCTGGCAGCCTGCGCGCGGAACTCTGCTAAACAGCCCTGCGGAGATTCTCGCCGTTAACAGGAGCGGGTGTCTCGGTGTCTCTCTCCGTTAACGGATCGTTCCCGGTTCGCCGGGAACTTTTAGCTTCGCAGCCTCTTGCTCCCGGAGGGGGACCCGCGCGTGCCAGCGGAGGGGAACGCGCTCGCGCACAAAGACGGGGCGAGATGCCATGTAGTGCTGGCTAGCTAGAGCTAGCCGGTGGCCATCTTGTTTATCACACTAGCAGCCCGCTAAGCTAACTAGCTGCAGTCAGGGGGAGAAAGTGAGAGTGAAGCAGTGATGGGAGGCACGGGAGGTGTGGGGTCAGCGCCCACCTCCTGTGCCTCCCCCCCTACCGGCTAGCAGACGTGTGGTCGCCGCGGGGAGCGGCTGACAGCTTCGACACAAAAGAACAGCAGCCGGGTCACGATAGAACAATCTGTGCGGGTTCTGTCCGCGGCGCTGGAGCCGGAAACCGAGCCGAGCGGGCGGGCATTGAAGACGTCGGCGGGGTCGGTACGTTACCTGCTGGCGGTCCGGTTCATGGCTGGATGTCCTCCTCGGTCCCTCGTAGCTGAACTCCGCCGGACCCGCCACGTCCTCCTCGGCAGAACAAGCCGCCGCCTCGCCTCCTCTCCTCCCCTCTATCACTGACTAACTCCGCTCCCTCCTTCTTCTCCTCCCTCCTTCCTCGCTTCCTTCCCTCCTTCCTGCCCGCTGGTCGTGCTAGGTAACTACGGCAACGGTAGTAGTAAGTCGCGCGCAGCTAAACTAGCGTGCACGCGGCTAAAATCGTCACCCCCTCCCGATCCGGGTCATGTGGTGACGTCATCAAGGCAATTTGATTTGTACAGCACATTCCAACAAGGCGACTGCTGCACACACAACCATTAAAACATGCACACAACGATCTATGAGCAGTTAAGAACATTGATTGAAACATAAAAGAAGATGAAATACGTTAGAAACTAAAAATAGAAGTTGCAGTGAAGTTTAGTTTAGTTCTTTAAATGGTGAATTAAAGGCAACAGCAAACAGAAAAGTATTTAACCCGGATTTAAAGGCTCTGAGCCACTTGTATTCGGCTGTATTCCGCTGCTGATACATTTATGTAGAATTGTGTGTCATCTGCGTAACTATTGTTTTCCATAATCTGAGGCAATGGAAGCATCTAGAAAGCATCTAAATCACGGGTGTCAAACTCATTTTAGGCTTTGGCCAGATACTGACCACTCGACGGGGGAGAGACACACCCCCCCCCACAGAGCCACAGCGCTGTTTACCTGTGTAAACACAACGAGCCTCTCGTCTGTCAGAAGCGATCGCGCATGCGCGGGGACCTGACGTGTTTTTTTCCCCAATGGCAGGTGATCGACCAACGACCGCGTCCTCCTGGTCTGACGCACGCGCTCACTCAGAGTGCGACCCCCAGTGGACGTTTTAGGAATAGCAGCTACTTTTATAGAAATGCTATTTATGACTTTTTGTAATTCTCACAACAGAACATTCATCCGGCGGGCCGCACTGGACCCCCATGCGGGCCGAATTGGACCAGTTTGACGCCTGTGATCCGAATTTTGCATCAGTAATTTTTCTAAATGTTCTATGTAAGTATTTAGTACTATAATACTACACAATGGGACAAAAGATTGTAGAAATCTTGCCTGGTCTGATGAGTCTCATTCCAGCTGAATGTTCAGAATGTGGAGTAAACAACATGAAAGCATGGATCCATCCTGCCACGTATCAGCGCTTCAGGCTGCTGCTGGTGTGGTGGTGAGGGGGACGTTTGCTTGGCGTACTCACTGAGCAGGTTTAAATGCTGCAGCCTACCTAGTGTTGTTGCTGACTATCTCCATCCCTTCATGACCACAATGTACCATCTTCTGCTTCCAGCAGGATGATCACAAAGCATCATCTCAAACTGGTTTCTTGAACATGACGAGTCCACTGTACTCCAATGGCCTCTAACACAAAACATCTCAATCCAATAGAGCACCTTTGGGACGTGGTGGACCGGGAGATTCATATCATATCATGCAGGCAACACACACACAGGGTGCATGTGCATATTAAACCAGAATGTAAAGGAGGTTCAATGCAACATAAATAAGCCAAATGCTTAATTCTGTCACAGCGCTGTCAGTCCTACCCTGTCATTTGTCCCTCACTCCACCGAATCAGGTCATTCTGTACACCTGCTACTCACAGCTGTCTCACTCTCTTTAGTAATTCATTAATATTTAATAATACAATGTAAGTCGCTTTGGATAAAAGTGTCAGCTAAATGACATGTAATGAGTAAAGCAGACTTGTCTGGTCGTTGTGAACATTTATTGATTTAGTGTGTTTGAACACTATAAAAAGAATCCTGTCTCATGGACTAAAACGGGTAAACAATAAAAGAAAAAACATCATGGTGGAGAGTTTTAGCACTCCCCTTGCAGCTCCAATACGTCAAAGGTCACATTAGTTCACAATAACCGACTGAGAAGGTCACTGCGCTGCAACACTTATTTTAAAATGTCATTTATTAAATACAACACCTTTTTTAGATTTGGTTTTATCATATATGAACAAAAACGGGCACATTTTTATCAAAAGTATTGCATCGAATGTAAAACAGAGATGAACGCAGAGTAGAAATGGATATTTAAAGTAATAAAAACATTTCTTCTCATTCCCCCCCATTGTTACAAACGTAGTTTGAAAAGTTACACAATTCAAATAAAGATAAAAGTCCCTTTTATCCCGTCACATGAAACAATGAGAGGACCTCCAATCGTTCCCTGAGGAACCCCTTTAAGTTCTACTCTCTAGATCACAGGCGTCAAACTGAAGGCCCAATTTGGCCCGCATGGGGGTCCAGTGCGGCCCGCCGGATGAATGTTCTATTGTGAGAATTACAAAAAGACTTAAATTGCATTTCTATAAAAGTAGCTGCTATTCCTAAAACGTCCACTGGGGGTCGCACTCTGAGTGAGCGCGTGCGTCAGACCAGGAGGACGCGGTCGTTCACCAACGCTGGTCGATCACCTGCCATTGCCATTGGTCACCGCGCGATCGCTTCTGACAGACGAGAGGCTCGTTGTGTTGTTTTCTGTATTCGTTTTGCGCTCCACGTACACAGCGATGTTGTTCCGTATTATTATTGCGGGCGAACTGCCCAAGCGGGAGGGGGGGGGGGGGGGGGAGAGATCGCCATCACTTGAAGTGAAAAGTAGCTTGCGAGTTGAAAAAGTGTGGGGACCCTGCGTTAGACCTTTTCCACCCATCCGCACGCCCCCCATGATTTTGAATGGTCTGGCCCGTTTGATATCAAAGTGGGCAGTATCTGGCCCCAACCTAAAATGAGTTTGACACCCCTGATCTAGATCTACAACTACTCATTACAGCTTCTACTCACGCTAGCTCTACATCTACTCACCAACAAGGCTTGGTTTTACTCCTTCGCGCTCCATTGAAATGTGTATTTTTACATACAGTGCCCTGCATAAGTATTCACCCCCCTTGGACGTTTCTACATTTTCTCATGGTATAAACACAGATTTTAATTTATTTTGTTGTGATTTTATGTAATGGACCAACACAAATTAGTCCATCTGGAAGCCGGATTTCAAAATTATTTACAAATATAAATCTGAAAAGTGTTGTGTTTAAATGTGTAAAACCCCCTCACAAGTCACATTAACACATCTCATCATTATCATATAGGGTCCTGTACAATAACCTGTCATTTTATCTCAGGGGTTCTTATGCAAGTCACTGTTCTGATCAATTCGTGGTCCAAAATCGACTAGGTTTGGAAACGCCGTCCGTTGTGCCGCCGTGTAAAAAACGCGTGACTATAAACCCATGTTTTTGGTTAGAAACAAACATGTGGAGAACATCTGGAAGCAGATGTTCTCCACATTTTATTTTATAATTACTTTTCGTTTTTATTTACGTCTTCCTTTTAGTTATTTTCTCTTCAAAAGTGCTTAAAAATGAAACCGTGAGGAAGATACATTTAAAGTTCTGACTTCTCATATCCGTCATTTTGTTCGTGTTATCATCAACGGTCTTCGGTGAGCCACGCCCTCTTTAAAAGAAGTCCTGGAAGACGAGGTTACCTCATTAAAAAATCGTCTTTAAGGACTTAATCTTCAAACCTGAGATGTTCACGTTTGTGTTTTTTACTTGACCGCATCAGATCTGTTAAAAAAAAAAAATCTGAGACGTATGAAAAAAAAGAAGAAAATAATATTATTGCGGTATCAACGTTGTGCGTCTGCTGAGGTAACGATGTTTGTGTAGAAAATAGGAACAGACATATGCAGAATAAAATGAAGTATGTGAACATGAACGGCGGCTGCAAGCGGAAAGTTGGAGAGTTCCAACGTTAGCGAAGCGGTCGAGTAGCTTTCGTTAGCATGAGAGAGTAAACATCGGTTGACCGTTCAAATAATTCATGTACGAGTATGAATTCAATACATTATGAAAATTGATATTTTTTATATCAATCTCTTAATAAACAAGTTTTTGTCCTTGTGTCAAATTTTCTTATTTTGAATTTTAAATAATGGTTTTATTATGAAGATATTTATAATTGTCTTCTTTTGGCGGTAATTTGAGTCAATACAATTTCTGTATTTCATATTTCCTAAAGTGAATGATGGTATTTTGGACAGACCAATTTCAGTGTTTGAATCTCCCAGAAGTAAATATTAATAAAAAAAACAATTATTATCCACATCTAGATTTTTATGAATTATTTTACAAGTAAAAAGTAAAAAAAACATCCTTAAAAGAAAACAGCTTGTGATTTTAATTCTTTATCATAAATAAACTCCCTTTTATAAATGGGTTTGTAAATCAAATTCTTTTCCATTCTTACTATTTCACTATTTGTTTTTTTCCTTGTTGGTACTATGCAGCTTCCATATAGAAAAAAGAAATAATTATAAAAAGTTAAAGCTGGAGTTAAAGACAGAAATTGTAAATAATGTCATTCATATATAAATGTATTTTTATGTACAAAAGTTTAGATACATATTTGTAAAGAACATAATTTCACGGCTCTTTGGAGTTTCCAGTTATTTATACAAGTCTGATTTTTTTCTGATAGTGATTGGAACCGATACTTTGTCACAAAGAACATTCATGAAGTTCGGTTCTTTTATGACTTTATTATGTGTCAACAGAAAAAGTGACAATCTGCTGGGTCAAAAATATACATACAGCGGTGCTAATATTTGGTCACATGTCCCGTGGCCATTCGGCGGTCTTGGTGACCATCCACAAGCTTCTCGTCGACCGCTCCTCTTGACAGAATTGGTGCAATTCAGTTAAATTTGATGGCTTTCTGACGTGGACTGGTTTCTACAGCATTGTCCACATCTTCTCAATGGGATTTAAGTCAGGACTTTGGGAAGGCCATTCTAAAACCCCACAGAATGGCTAAATCCATCCGATTACCAAGGTCATTGTCCTGTTGGAAGACCCAACCGTCGGGCTGATGATTTTAGGTTATCCTGAAGAATTTGAAGGTAATCATCCTCCTTCATGATCACATTCACTCTTTGTAAAGCACCAGTTCCATTGGCAGCACAATACTACCCCACCGTGCTTGACGGTAGACGTGGTCTTCTTGGGGTTAAAGGCCTCACCTTTTCTCCTCCAGACACATTGATGGGCATTGTGGCCAAACAGCTGGATTTTGGTTTCGTCTGACCACAGAACTTTCCTCCAGAAGGTCTTATCTTCGTCCATGTGATCAGCAACAAATCAGTCGAGCCTTAAGGTGCCGCTTTTGGAGCAAGAGCTTCCTTCCTGCACGGCAGCCTCTCAGTCCATGGAGATGCCAAACACTGACACGGGTGTTCCAGCAGCTTCTGATTCTTGGCAGATCTTTTTGGTGGTTCTCAGTTGACTCTTCACCTCCTGACCAATGTTCTCTCAGCAGCAGGTGATAGCTTGTGTTTTCTTCCTGATGGTGACAAAACAGTGCCGTGCACTTTATGCTTACAAACTATTGTTTGCTCTGTTGCTCTTGGGACCTGCAGCTGCTTTGAAATGGCTCCAAGTGACTTTCCTGACTTGTTCAAGTCAATGATTCGCTCTTTTAGATCCACGCTGAGCTCCTTTGACTTTCCCATTGTAGCGTCTGTGGGTGTTTGTATCCAATGAGCTCTATTTAAAAGGCCTGAGAGTCACCAGCTGTAGTCACTCATAACCACAATCAAGTCAAGAGGCTGTGAAGCTCATTTCATTGACACAACTTTCTAAGTCACCAAAATTGCTAATTCATGTGGCTGAATGTATATTTTTGACCCAGCACTTTTTCTGTTGACCCATAATAAAGTCATAAAAGAACCAAACTTTATGAATGTTTTTTGTGACAAAGTATCTGTTCCAATCACTCTATCAGAGAGAAATCAGACTTGTAGAAATAACTGAAACTCAGGAGAGCCGTGACATTGTGTTCTTTACACGTGTATGTCAACTTTTGACCACAACTGTACAGGTGTGTGTTGACGGGAGGTCACTGAACGAGGAAGGAGGGAAGGAAGTGAAGAAGGAATTAACGACCTTCCTATTTTCTCATGTCATCATCAGTTTGTGTCAGAAAACTCTTAAAACAAACGTAGAAATTAAACTACGTGTTGAGATTCACATTCATGAGTCCAAACAATCAAAGTCCATTTTAGAAAAAAGAAAACCTTGAAGATTCAAAACATGACCACAAAAAAAAAAAAACACAGAATGAAAAGAATCGCTAAAAGGTCACTTAAAAAAAACCTACCACCACAGGAGCCAGGACGCTGTCCCCTCCGGAGACGTCCCGTCCTCTACAACAACGCCTGTATTCAGTCTCCTCCTCCGCTCTGACTTCAGCGTCAAACCAACATTCAACGTCATCATCAAAGTGGTCGAAGATTTGTCATCTGACTCCTGATTGGTCGATGCTGGAGCTTGAAAACGTAAACTGCACCATGTGGTTCTGGATGGGATCATGTGACTTTGCAGAGACGCTCTGATTGGTCAATGAGGGATGGACTTTACTCTAATTGGGGATCCATATTCTAATTTATGATGTTTTAAACTGAATTTAAGTATTTGAAATTATAAATACATCATTAATATGAATAATAACAATAATACCTCTGATAAATAGATGATTAAAATTATTGTTCATAAAATTATTATTTAAAAATTCATCAATAATTGATTCATATCAACAATTAATAAAAGCTATAATTTATTTATAGCTTGCTAGTAATCTTAATTGATTCATTCCAATAAGTCTCTTTATTATAATTGTACCGGTTTATCCCCTTTTAATCCTGGTTCTGTGGATCCTGGTTCTGTGGATCCTGGTCTGGTTCTGTGGATCTGGTTCCCGCGGTCCTGTCGTTAGTTCAGGACCGGTCCTCGGGGTGCTGGGTCCGGACGTGGCTGTGGAGGCGGGTCACCGAGGAGAACCTCTTCCCGCAGGCGGAGCAGCGCAGCGCGGAAGAGGCGGAGCCTAACAGGGCCGAAGAGGAGGCGGAGCCTAACAGGGCCGAAGAGGAGGCCCCGTGCGTCAGGCGGTGAGACTTCAGGAGAGAAATCCGACTGAACCTCCGACCGCACTCTTCACACTCGGACCAGACCCGCCTCCTCTTCCTCTGTGTGACACACACACACACACAGTACAAGTACACACACGGTAAGTACAAGTAGCTCAGCGTGTACTTTCATTGATTCCATCAGAGGCTCATGAAGTGATCTCTGAACAGACCGACCCCAACGTCACTTCCTGTTCGCTAGTGCACTTTATTTCTTTCATTTTTAAATATTTTTTTACTTGAACTTTTATTTTAAACTAACCCTTATGTTTCATTTCATTATTGTCTTGTCGTCTATTGTCGTACTGTTACGCAAGTCACATTTCTTGTATGTGACGTTTTATGGTGATAAATGTTGCTGATTGCTGAACTCATCACAGGAAACAGATCTCTGATCAGCTGCTTGTCATAACAAAGCTCTGCGTCTAACACTGTGTAGTAGTTGTTGTGTACCTGTGTTCCATTCTGCTGTTGTTATTGTTGTCTTTCCTTTACAGATATTGTTCATTTATAGATACTAATGACTTGATTATTTTTATTTAGTTTCATAAACTTATAATTCAAAGAGCAGTTGGTCTTTTTATCTATTTATATTCAATTAAATTGCTATTATGACTATGTATACATATATATTTAAATATTACATTATAGTATTATAAACAGAATCATAATGTAAATGAGACAAAACATTAACATCACATCAGACTGGATTCTACGCTTATTATTTACTGATTCTTGTTTCCTGCTAAATACAAAAACATCATTTCAGTTCTTTGTGTCGTCTGAAAATGCGCTAAAAAGGTTTTATATTAAAAACAAGAGAAGAACAACATCTAACAACTTAAATTAAATTCCTTCTTATTTCGCATGTTTGCTTCCTCACCTTCCTCCCTTTGTCCTCCTCCTCCTCCTCCCCCTCCTCCTCCTCCCCCTCGGTAGGAGATGGACCGACCCGGCATGCACGCTCGGTGGACTCGTCCGCCGGGAGGACCGCCACGGTCTCCTTAGTGGCCTGGTCCTCCTCGTCCAGCAGCTGGGACGGAAGAGTCAGGAGACGGTGCAGCATCGAGGCAGAAGAACGCCGCCCTGAAGACCAGAGACAGAGACCAGGATCAGAGACAGAGACACATCAGATATGTTATTCTATCTTAACAGCTGTTGTGGTCTCACCTGTCGGGGTGTGGGGGGGTCCGGGTTTGGCTCCTGGATGGGGTCCAGGTCTGCTGGTCCTTCTTTGACCGTCTGTAGCTTCTTCATCAGGAGAAAACACTTCCATGTCCTCCAGAGGAGTCCAGCGGGGGTCCTGCTGGGGGGAGGAGGGGGAGGGCTCCAGGTTCACCAAAGGGGTGGAGAGAGGCGCCACCTGATCAGCCCCCCCATCATCTTGAACCTGCCCACCACCTCCTCCTCTTCCACGCTCGAGGTCCTTAATCTGCCAGACGTCACTGCACCACTTCTGACCAAAGACCTTGTCCAGGATGGGAACCCAGTCCTGAGACACCGAGAGGACGGGGGGGCGCTCTGGGTCTGAGGGGGAAAGAGGAGGAGATTAAAGAGGGGAAGGAGGCAAGGGAGGGAAATGAGGAACATGAAGGGAGGAAGAAAAAGAGAAGGAGGTTAGAGAGAGAGAGAGAAAAGGTGAGGAAAGGGAGGAAACAGGGGAGAGGGTGAGGAAGGAGGTGAGAAGGGAACAGGAGAGGGAGGAAGTGATGGAGGAGGTAAAGGAGCAGATGGAGAAGGAAATCCTGAGTTTGTATCATGTGTCGAAGTAGAACAAAGCTGTGACATCACAGTCAGGCTCCGCCCACCGTCCCTCCGCGGCGCCTCCTTGGACCCGCTGAGTTCGGACAGCTCCTCCCGGGTGTCCTCAGAGCCGCTGGGGGACACAGAGTCGTTCTCCGACCCCCTCCTCCGGCCCCCGGCTCCTCCTCTCCCTTTGTCTCCCCCTGCCTCCCTGTCCAGCGTCTCCCCCAGGTCCTGCTGCTCTCTCTCCATCTTGGTGATCTCCAGCAGCAGGTCGTCAAACGAGGCCTCCACGATCTTTGTCAGCTCGTGAACCGCGAAGTCCAGAACCTGCTCCATGACCCCCTTCAGCTGGTCTGTGGGACGTAAACATCACCGACTATGTAAACAACAACAACAACACATGTATACATGTGTGTATATTCTAATTCCATCTAAACCTGATAACATCTTATCTTTAAATATTGATAAAACTCATTCATCCGTCTGTCCTCTGCATCATGTGACCTCTATCATGTGACCTCCTGACCCACTTTCCACTTCTTCCCAGGGTGCATTGCCTTGACACCTGGGGTCCGTTTCAAGAAGCGGGAGTTTGTTGATGAAGAAGCGCTTTTACTTCGTTAAACACGTCGGGGGAGAATATTGAGGCCCGATCAGATGTATCGTCGTTTCCAGATGACTACTTGTTTCAACGCTATCGTTTTTCTTCCCCGTCCATCAAATATGTCCATGACCTCAGCCGTCCTCATAGAAGTAACGTCCCCCATCGTGGACGTGCTCTCACATACAAGCACATTCTTTGTGTAGTGTTACGTCTTTTCCTTTACAACATGAGAATATTAGTAAAGCTGCTGCGTGCAGAGCCGTGAGAAACGTCTTTTAAACCTTTTTGTTGGACACAAACCAGTGAGACATTAAAGAGGAGTTCTACAGGACGCACCTGTGTGTATATGTATGTATATATATATATGTATATATATATATATATATATATACACGTATATATGTATATATAAATATATACATACACATATATATATATGTCCGCTGATCTGTGATGGAATTGTAACTATTCGATTCCAAATCAATCCGATGGTTTTTATAGTTCACGTGGGGGGGAGGGGGGAGGGGGGGGAGGCAGCAACGAGCTGCGCCTCCTCTTGCAATCCCTCATAAACCCGGTTGAGCTGCTCGTGTTTTGCATGTGTAATTAATGTCTCTACATGTTACAATATAATGTCTGTACACAGTTGGATCACATGTCCTCACATCACATGGTCCGGCTCCTGTGTTTCACTATGCTAGTCTTGCTAATCTGACATAACGGAGCAGTTAAAGAGCAGCAATAAGGAGGCAGCTGGACTTGGAGCGTCAGTACCTCTGCCCGCCTGAAGGGGGCGTGGTGAGCACGCGGGCTCCTTCTGCTGTTGTTTTTCTTCACGTATTACAGACTGATAGCATAGTTAGCATGTGCTAGCTAAAGCAGTCAAGCAGCGAACGTCAAGTGCACATTATCAGTCCTTGAAAAGTGAAAACATCCAGACTTTCCCCCCGAACAATAGTGTCTATTTAGACAAAGAGACTGTTGAAACCAAAAGAAGATAAAAAGGACTTTTGCAAACAAAGTCATTGACTTTGTGGTAAAAGTGATGTTTGTCCAAAAGGCGAATGGACTTAACGTCATTTACAAGTAGAGGTAAGACCATGCATACACTGCTGTACACGACAAAATAAAAGGCCAACCCTATTTTTATTAATAAGTAAACAATATAAAAGAAGATTTAAGCAATAATGTATGAGAGGCTGTACTTTATCGTCAATAATTCAAGGATAGTGTTGGGAAACCTTATTGGTTTTATAATACAGTTCTCCGTGACATTATTAGTAAGTAAATAGCTTCCTTTCAGCAAAAAACAAGTTGTAGCCACTAAACGTTGTGTATCGTATTTCAGCAGCCTACAGAAAATAGTAGGTGTCTGTGGCTACGGAACAAACCGCATTGGGGACTTCACGTCTGTTAGCCTAGCACCAGAAGTTGGTTGCTATTAGCTAGAAGATTGACATTAATTTGTGCGTCTGAAAACATCCCTGGTCTCCCTGCCAGATATCAACTCATTCATTCGCATCCCTCATAACGTCCACCTGAATTCTCCTCTCTAGCTAACAGGAGCCCTAAATCGCTTGCGAAAGCATTTCCTGAAACCGCTCATCAGCTTTTTGTAGTCGATCGCCATCGAGCTAAATGATGAGATTACAACCAACGGCCGCGCAAAATCTAACTGTGACTTTGAATGTGCACGGGTATGAAACGCTCAGGTCGATCGCTCAATAATGTACACCCCTGACTTAGGGCTGCACGCTATGGCCCAAAATCCACATCACGGCATTAAGAAAGATTCTGACAGTATCGAAAAGGGCCGCGGCTCCCCGAACTGCCGCTCGCTGGCCAACTTGCTCCCAACTGGCCAGCGAGTTGACTTGTTAGCGTGTTAGTCGATAGCGTGTTAGCTTGTTGTGGCTGCTAGTGTTGCTACTAGAGGCTCGACAGACTCTGCAGTAAATCGTTTTCCGATCTAACGTAACTTACGTCAGATTTTCCGAAACCAAAACCCCTCCGAACAGACCAGCTCCTCGTCTGGGCACCAGTTGTGTTGGAGCATCTCTGGTCTCTCGTGTTCCTCCTGTTTCGCTCTTTTCCGCATTTCACGTAACAGATTTAACGTTACGTCTTGTTGTGAGCTGTACCCAGCATGCAGTTCGACAGGGTCATTTTTTATAAATGTACAATTATTAGTCCATAAATTGTTTATGTGTCACAAGCTGCTGTGTGGTGTTTTACCCTGTTAACGTGTTGGTTACGAGTCGCCCCCTGCTGGTCACTACAGAGAATGAACATGTGAATATTCATTATAGCAGAACAAACATCGCAGTCTGCTTCTTTACATTATGATTTACATGTTAAATAACATACACCGTATATCCGCCTCCATCGCGGTTAGTGTGCGTGCGTTTGATTATTAGTGGCGTTTGCTCCATAAATGAGCATCACACGCTGCTCCAGCGGGCCCCCTCGGGCCCGCGCCCCCCGCGCCCAACAAAGGGCCTCGCGCGGCTTTCGGGTCCACGCGGTTACGCAACGCGGGGGGAGGAGCGCGTCGCGCTGTTTTGTTTGCGTGCGAATGCGCGTGTTGTGTAACGGGAGGGGGGGCTCGCGCTTTGTCGCTACGTACCAACGACCCTTCCCCGCTGCTCCAGGCGGCGTACGTCGGCGTGGACGCCGGGCTGCGGGCCGTGTCCTCCGGGGCCGTGAAGCTGCTGCTGCTGCTGCTGCTGCAGCGGCCGGCGGCGGTCGGGCTTTGTCCTCTCGTCGCCCGCCTCATTCCGCCCGCAGCCCCGGTTCTCCCAGGCCTGCAGACGGAGGCGGAGCCGGTGGTTCTCCTGCTCCTTGCCGGCGGCCTCCAGCAGCAGCGTGTTGAGGCTGGAGCCCACCGTCTTGCTGATCTCCTGCACGGCGAGCTGGACGACCTGCTCCAGCACGGACTCCAGCTGGCCCTGGAAAAACGAAATATACACGGCCCCGTTCATGTTTCCGGTTCTCTCATTCTCGTGTTTCGGAGTGCAGCAGCTCACTGCCCGGTCCCCCCGACGACAAACGGTGTAGAAACAGTCGGATCCAGCCCCGGGAGTTGGTCGGCTGGTTCCGGCGGCGGCTGGGATCGGCTCCTCCGGCTGCTGCTGCTCTCTCTCCGCCTCGCGCGTTCGGCTCGGCGGCTCCGCCGGAAAGACCCGAGTAGAGGCGCAGCAGCATTTTCCCGCCCACATGTCGTCGTGCACGCTCGCGCCCTTGCAGTCAGTCTTACGCCATTTTGGCTTTTCACAAAATAACATCAGTCATTCCCAAATGTCAGCACGGACGCTGAACCGTGTTATTTTTCCAAAATAGCTTCCAAATTACACCCTGTGGCTCCACTACAATCTTAGTACTTTAAGAAAATGGCTGAACTAACATCTGGACTTAAATAAAACGACAGCCAAAACATCTTGGGTGTTGAGGTGTTGTACTACTGCACGTGAACTTATTTATGTTTTACCCCACTTTTGTTTATTTATTGACCTTAAATCACATTTGCTCGACAATTATTCACTCGGTCTACATCTTGACACACAAACAAGCATGTGCTCACAACATTAGGTTGCCACCCGTCCCTTCAAATACGTAATTGTCTCGTATTTGAGAATAAAATGTTTTGAATCAATACCGCACGGGGTTTGTCCCGTACTTTCCGAGTTGCCAGCATCCCATGCAAAAAATCCCACCCAAATTCTGTGAAGACTCGTCCCATTCGTCCCCTGATTGGGTGATACTCGGCGCCATGGTTTGTTTGGCCGTGAACCTGAAACAAACGGACCAGAGGAGAGGAGGACGGATCTCTTGGCGGAGTGTCGGTTCCCCGCGTCCAGCTCTGAAGCGAAAGCGGATGCTAAAGTACCGACGAGAGTGGGAGGAATCACCGGGGGGTCGCAGAGTCGCCGCCCCACCCGTCCCGTAACGTTTGCGCCGCCACCGTCCCTTATTTTTCCTGTATTTTTATTGTCCCTTATTTTTCCTGTACTAAAGGTGGCAACCCCGCTCACAACATGTGCTAACATTTACTAAAAACATGGAGGAAAAAAAAAGTAATGTGAGTTTAAAAAAGGGAATTAGTTTATTGGAAGTTAGGTAGTTGGGAATGTGTGTATGGAACCGTTTTAAAAATTAAAATTAAATGTGTCTTTTATTTTTGATATTTCCGGTATCGGCTTTTTGAGATAATATTCTGGGACTATATTAAGATTTGTATGTATCACAATTGCACAAAACGCTGTCTTGTTTATATCAATTAGCGTGTAGCGCCGCCCCAAAACAAAAGATTTCTATTGTGGTCTTTCTTCCCCGAGATGTCATGATAATATTTTTGTTAATCATGTTTGTCTGGTGTAAAATTCTGAATGTTAATAGCTCACCCTGGCACTTTGCTTCGTCCTAATTTCTCTCGTATTGATTCTAAAGGTAATAAGTTATTAAAATGTAACCTTTTTTTTTTAGATACCAAAAGAGTTCTATAATCTTTCCAATTTAAACCTGATCAGCAGGCCGCTGCTTGAGCTTCAGGCCGCGTTACGGCCCCACGCGGGGTAAAGGGGGGTGGGCGTGTGGACCGGATCGGTTCGGCTCGCAGACGCGAGCTGGTGGACCGTGATCTTGGCCCTCGACCCCTTCGGCACGACGCGCACGTTCGCCGTCTTTACCGTAACGGGGTCGTCGTGGCGCAGGGGTTAGAGAAGGTGTGCTGGGAAGCACAAGGTTGTTGGTTCGATTCCAGGCTGCCCCATGTTCCATGTCGAAGTGTCCCTGAGCAAGACACCTAACCCCTAATTGCTCCCCGGGCAAAAATGTGAAAAAGCCATGGGTTTAAAAGTGTAATGTAAGTCGCTTTGGATAAAAGCGTCTGCTAAATGACCTGTAATGTAATGTAATGTAACGGCCGGAGCACAATGGCGGGCTGAACCTACAAGCCCCTCAGATACTTCAAGTTTACAAATGATAAATCATCATCAGTGTACCATCGAATGTAAACAGTAAAGCACTAAATAAGCACCCGTGTGCTCCATGAACTCACACATGAACTAATACTGTACAGAACCACAACATCTTGAAACATTCTTAATCCTGTAGCGACTGTAAAACAAACAAATTAAAACACTGGTTAAATATTAAAGGAAGCTATTGATAAAAATGATCGTGTAATGTTTTCAGGTGATTTAACGGTGTTAAAGTAGGCGTTCATTACCTTTCGAGCCAAATACTGTTTCAATTATGAAAGTAAAAGTTTTCGTAACCGGAGTTGGTAAAAGGACGCCGGTGAATTAGCCGTGCGCTGCTGTAGGCGTGACCTGGACAGACATCCATTGTCATTGTAAACATTTGTTTTTTGCAGAGATTAAACATTGGTAAAAGGTTTGCCAAAATTACCATCGATGCTGACAACATATCCTGGAACCCAATTCTGGCCTTTCAAAATAAGATATCCCGCTTCAACACCTCCAAATAGCGCAATAAAAGCTCATTCATCGTTGCCCCAGGATTGCCCAACTGTCGCTCAAGTGTCTTACTACTTTCTCATCAAAGTAACTTTCCTGCAGTAGACATGTAAATATTGATATATCCATGAGATTTGACACGTAGATTTGTTGACATCACTTACGTTTTGCGGGTGATCAACAAAAAATGAAAAACAGTGTCAAATTACAAGTGTCCAGGTGATGCTAAAATGAGCTTTCGCTCAAGTTAAGCTAACGTTAAGCCAGTAGGTTGTTGGTTAGAAAGTAAAAGGTTAAAGTGAAAGTAATTGAAAATAATTCAGAGCATAGCAGCACACAGCTCTTTAACAAAGATGCTTTTTCCGCTTGTTTTACTAATAGCATTAACGCAACGGGCTGTGCTGTTAGCTAACGTTGGCTAGTATCACAGAGCTAGCTCTGCCAAGGTTAGTAACCTAATGTAATGAACCAGACCAAGTGAAATAGTACTTCAATAATCATCAAGACAAAAAAAGACTTGAATTTGGTATGAGAAGCGTACCGTTAACTGGAGAGATGAGTTCAATGAGGAACTTCCTTCATTGAACTCATGAAATGTGCTCAGGATCAGCTGACCAACTCCCAATTTGAAACACTTTCAAGCGCGAATGAAGCACATTTGTGGTCAATTTTCAGGGTGATACCCTGAAACATTGTTTTTCCCTCGCATCAACCGTGACTCTGTCCTTGTCATATCGACTCTGTACCTGTTGTGGAAGTTCTACTCATGTCGGACCACCAAACAGAGTCGTGTTTTTGTATTAAAGCATCCGTAGGCGCCGACAGCTCTGTGAATTTCACCGACTTCTACAGGAAATGTACTTATTGTAAGTCGCTTTGGATAAAAGCGTCAGATAAATGACATGTGATGTAATGCAATGTGATAACGTGACTTGTTGTTAAGGGTTAGGGTTAGCATGCATGGCGCTTCAAGCTAACTTCAGCTAACGTTTCTCTCTGGAGTGACAACATTTAATATCTGCATCTTTCTGTCGAAGGTGGTGTGTAGAAGGACCGGAAAGCTGGTCCAGAAGAAGGCAGAAACTGTCAAACCCCTGAGGCCACTCATCCAACACCGCCTGGACTTTGAGTGGGGCTTTATGAGGCCTATTTGCTCCATCCGCCAGGGTGTGGTTTGCTCTTCCTCCTCATAGGTAACGTGTTAAATTGGGTTTTGTTCAGTTCCCTAAACATGCAAGTTGCAGATTGTTGTTCAGTATTGTGTTTTGCTATTGGATATGTTTGCATTGCCTCCACCCCCCTCACACGCACACACACACACACACACACACACACACACACACACACACCGTATAACGACATGAACAGATTGACTCCCCCCCAGCCCCCCTCCTTGCAGATTCTCATTCACCTGAAACTAAACGCACCTCTCTGCCGCTGCAGAGCGAGGACGGAGCGGGCGGGCGGTGCGTGGGGGGCGGGGGGGGGGGGGGTGTAGGCAGCAGACGGTAAAGATGGAGGGTGGAATGAGTGGACGCCTGCGCACTGGCACCGCATCCCTCCGCATCGCCGCCTCTCTCTTTTTCTGCAGCATCAGTACCACCCCCCCCCCCCCTCTCCCTCTCCCGCCCTCCCCCCTCTCTCTCTCGGTCGGTTCTGCTGCCGGTAGCTCTGCGCGCTGCGGGGCCACACTGCGACCGCATCGAGGAGGAAGAGGAGCCGCCGAGCCTGAGCCACAGCGGCGGAGCGGCACACACACACACACATATATATATATATTATATATATATGTGTATATGTATATGTATATATATACACTCATACACACACGTATATATGTACACACAGCGGAGGAGGGATCGAACGCGCGGATAACAAACCCCTGAGCAGCAGCGGCAGAAGGCGTCACATCTCCTGAAGAAGAGGAGGACGAGCGGAACGATACTAGCGGAGATCTTTTTCAGGATCTCAGATCGCAGAAGCAGCGACGAACGACGCGGTGTCGGTAACCCCCCCCCCCCTCCCCCCGTACTCCCGGACCACGGACCATCCTCCGGTTTTATATTTTTCTTCTAGCAGCCAGCTCGGCGCGAGGACACCATGAAGGACCGTACGGCGGAACTGCGAAGCGTAAGCTCCATTTTGCTCTTTCTGTCCGTGCGGTCGGCCTCCATGCCACCCCCCCCCCCCCCACCCCCCCTCCCCTGCGGGCCTCGCCGCCTCACGCTGTGAATGCAGAGCGGGATCGGGTCTTCGGTGTGCGGGGACGCTGGGTTCGCACCGGCTGGAGGTCACGGTTTTCTTCCGGTACCGGACCCGGTTAGACCGCAGAGACCCTCCGCGTGCAGCGCTGCATGCACGATGGAAATAAATAAAATAAAACCGCTGGAGCCGCGCGTGTCCATGCATGCGTGCTGGATGACCTGATGATGGAGATGGAGGAGGAGGAGGAGGAGGGGGAGGACCAGTGAATTGTATGTGTGTGTGGTTGTGAGTCGGAGGCCGCATCCTGCAGCCCGCGCGCCTCCTCCTCCCTGACGGAGCGGCGCGTGAATGTGGAGCACAATCACTCCAGATCAGGTGGAGCAGGATCGATACTCGGCTGGATGAATCAAGGTGCAGTTCTATCTGCTCCACCGCGTGTTTCCTCCTCTTGCTTCTCTACGCGTGATAGTGATGTGTGTGGTGGGGGGGTTGGGGGGGGGCGAAGCCTCACCCATTTTATGACTGAGGGTCTGCATGGAGGAGCGCGAGGCGCGGTGCTTGGTGAGCGAACAGCTGATGCCCGCGGTTTGGGCGGATTGTGGTGGGATTCTTGAGGGGGGGGGGTCACATCAGCTGCTCAAACTCTGCAGCAGCTCCAAGCGCCTCCCACCGCCAACACCACAGTCAATCCTCCAAATCAATATATATATATATATTAAAATTATCCATCAATATTCCGATTTCTTAATGTATAGATCTCTCAATACAACTATTTATTGAAATCTCAGTCTAATATTTGATTGATCTATTGGATATTTCCCCCATCTAGAACCTGATCAATAGACACAATAATCAATATAAGGTGATCAATAGAACATGTTCAATGAATACATCATCTCAGAGCTTACTGTTTATGTGTTAAGATATCCTCTATACCTCCACCCTTCTCCGTCCTTTATTCCTCCACTGTTTATTTCTCCATCTCCATCCTCTATATCTCTATCTCCATCCTCTGTCTCTCCACCTCTATATCTCCATCCTCTATATCTCCATCCTTTATATCTCCATCCTCTATATATCTATCTCATCCTTTATATCTCAATCCTATATATATCTATCCATCCTTTATATCTCCATCCTCTATCTCTCCACCTCTATATCTCCATCATCTATATCTCTGTATCCATCCTTTATATCTCCATCCTCTATCTCTCCACCTCTATATCTCCATCATCTATATCTCTGTATCCATCCTTTATATCTCCATCCTCTATCTCTCCACCTCTATAGCTCCACCCTTATATTTCCATCCTCTATATCTCGATCCTTTATATCTCGATCCTCTATATCTCTCTCTCCATCCTCTATATCTCTATCCCCCATCCTTTATATCTCTATCCTCTATATCTCTTTCTCCATCCTTTATATCTATCCTCTATATCTCCATCCTCTATATCTCTATCTCCATAGTTTATATCTCTATCCTCTATATATCTATCTCCATCCTTTATATCTCGATCCTCTATATCTCTATCTCCATCCTCTATATCTCTATCCCCCATCCTTTATATCTCCATCCTCTATATCTCTATCTCATCCTTATATCTCTACCCTCTATATCTCTTTCTCCATCCTTTATATCTATCCTCTATATCTCCATCCTCTATATCTCTATCTCCATAGTTTATATCTCTATCCTCTATATATCTATCTCCATCCTTTATATCTCGATCCTCTATATCTCTATCTCCATCCTCTATATCTCTATCCCCCATCCTTTATATCTCCATCCTCTATATCTCTATCTCATCCTTATATCTCTACCCTCTATATCTCTTTCTCCATCCTTTATATCTATCCTCTATATCTCCATCCTCTATATCTCTATCTCCATAGTTTATATCTCTATCCTCTATATATCTATCTCCATACTTTATATCTCTATCCTCTATATATCTATCTCCATCCTTTATATCTCCATCCTCTATATCTCTATCCTCTATATCTCTATCTCCATCATTTATATCTCCATCCTCTATATCTCTATTGCCATATTTGATATCTCTATCCTCTATATCTCTATCATTTATATCTCCATCCTCTATATCTCTATCCTTTATATCTCTATCTTCTATATCTCTATCTCCATCCTTTGTATCTCCATCTTCTATATCTCTATATCCATCTTTTATATCTCCATCCTCTATATCTCTATCTCCATCCTTTATAACTCCCTCTATCTCTCCACCTCTATCTCTCCATCCTTATATCTCCATCCTCTATCTCTCCACCTCTATATCTCCATCCTTTAAATATCCGTCATTCATTCATCCACCCCTTATTGCTCCATCCTCTACATCTCTGTCCTTTATTCATCCATTGTTTATTTCTTCATCTCATCCTCTATATCTCCACCCTTTGTATCTCTGTCATTCATTCTTCCACACTTTATTACTCGATCCTTATATATCCGTCCTTTATAGCTCCATCTATTATATCTATGTATATATTTTTAGTCCATTCTTTATTCATCCAGCATTTTTTCCTCCATCCGTATTCTCTATATATCCACCCTGTACATCTCCATCCTTTACTCCTCCATTAATTTTCCCTCCATCCTTTATACCTCAATTATTTATATCTCCGTGCTTTATATCCCTATCCTTTGTTCCTCCATCCCCTTTTCTATCCTTTATATCTTTACGTTTGATTTATTCATCCATCATTTATATCTCCATCCTTTAGATTCCCAACCTTGATTCCTTCATCCTCTTTTTCTACATCCTTAATATCTCCATCCTTTATCAATCCCTTATTCCTCCTTATCACTTTCCCTCCATCATTTGGATGTCCATCCTTTATATCCCCATCCTTTATATCTCCACCCTTCATACGAACATCTTCCATCCTCAGTCCCACATCCTTCTTCCGTCTATCCTCCTAACGTTCTCCACCCTCCCTTCAGCATCCTCTCTTGCTTCTTCCATGCTTCCTTTTCTTTGTCCTTGTGTCCTCTCAATCAGGTCACCTGATGCCTGTCCTGAGGTGAGGATAAGAATGACGACAATGAGAATGATGGAAAAGATGGAGAGGATGATGATAGCGATAAAGGAGAGGAGGAAAAGGATGGAGCTAAGGAAGAGGATGATGATTTTTGTCATATTTGCATAATTTTCACACGGTTTAACTGGAGCTCTCAATCACCTCTTCTTCTTCTTCTTCTTCGTCTTCTTCTGTGGTGCTGATTATCAATATCATACTCATGAGAGCTTTTATTTTCTCAGTTTTAAAGTCCTCCAAAGACCATGGCCATGTTGGATCATGAGTGAATCCGGCTCACGTAGCGCTGCTGCTAACATGCCGAAGCTAGTAAAAATCATGTGTTTATGCAACGTCACAGTGACGCAACTCGTCTTCTGCCTCCCCTCTTCCTCCTGCTCCTCTTCTTCTTCTCATCCTTATTGTCTTCGTCTTTTTCCTTGTCCTCTTCTTTGCCTCCTCCTCTTCCTCTTCTAGCTGCTCCTTTCTTATTCTTCTCCTTTCCTCTTATTGTTTTCTTCTCTCCTCCATTAGGGGATTAATTTAAGGTGAACCCCTTGTGTCAGAAATGACAGACTTTAAATATTCATATGTGGAAACTGCACTGAAATATGCCTGATAACTGAATGAATGAGGAAATGAAAGCCGCTGTGTGATTGGCTGGGCTGCTGTCAGAGGGAGGAGCCTGTGGAAGGAGAAAGAAAACCTGCTCCCGACCAGGTGATGTTCACAGGCTCAGTTACCATGGTGACTGATCCTGAGCTTTAGTTACCATGGTGACTGAGCCTGAGCTTTAGTTACCATGGTGACTGAGCCTGAGCTTTGGTTACCATGGTGACTGATCCTGAGCTTTAGTTACCATGGTGACTGAGCCTGAGCTTTGGTTACCATGGTGACTGAGCCTGAGCTTTAGTTACCATGGTGACTGATCCTGAGCTTTAGTTACCATGGTGACTGAGCCTGAGCTTTGGTTACCTCCCTTTGTGAAACAAGCGTGAGTTTCCTTCATCTCAGGGTGAACAAACTCTTGAGTTTCCACTAAACCTGCTTCTTGAAACGGACCCCTGGGCCCTGTTCCTCGTACGTTCCTTACCGAGATGATTGACATCAAACTATCTCAGTTCCTCGAAGGCGGATCGGCGCTCAAAACGTCTCGTTAGTTTGAACCAGATGTCAATCCTCAGGATAATCGTCTTGCGTCAGAAGGTGGAAGAGTCGATCACCGAAACCAGGATTTTTAACAGTGTAACGGCAAATAAACTTAAAGGTAGAGCGTCTTTTTTCTCCGCTGACGTCCCAGGGAGGACCGTCCTGTGTCTCTAAAGGTGTCTTCCCTTTATTCTCCCCATCAAATACCTTTTCATTGTTTGGGAAGTTTTTCCTGTCGATGTGAGTGTTTCTGGACAGAGGACGTCACATGTGTACAGACTGTAAAGACACATGAGGCTAATTTGCGATATTGTGCGATAGAAAATAACATGAAATGAATCATAGAATTATGACAAAAACAGACAGCGCCCCCTGGAGGCTACAAGCCCCACAAAGTATCGCACAAGTTAACATTATGCGTGTTGGTAAAATGTGACGGCTCATTTAAGGGCCTCGTCTCTCTAATCAATCACATTATATCTCTATAATGCGTCTGCTGGCAGGAGGCTTCATGATGATCATCATCCAATGAGAATAATCATCTCAACTCCTTCAGAGTATGTAGATGAAAACAAGCCCAAAGAATCAGATTGATACGAATGAACAGGATCTATGTATCAGCGTATGTAGATGACCACATAGAACTAGTTTATTGTGTGTGTGAGAATCATTATAGATCCATCGTTCATATTCAGACATTTGATCAATTGAAGCAGTGAAATGTGGAACATCCAGAA